CTTGTGGTGTTCGCTTGAGGATCCGCTTGACAATTTACTTGAATCACTTTGGTTGACAGGAGGACAGGCTTGGACTGCAGGCGAGGGAAATCCACCTTGACGACAGAACATGAAAAGGGTAAGCAACAATAAACTTTCTGAGAATAATACTAGAAGGCCTAATACTGTACTACCAAAAGAGGTGTGATTGATCAGCGCCGGCCTGACAGTCGAGACACCTTATAAATCCAGCAGCTCATTAGGGGAATCCTCAGCAGGTGAACATAATCAGGGTAAAGACCATTCAGAGCAGGAGAACAGAACTGCCAATCTTCACAGTACCCTCCTCCTACGAATTGCCTCCAGGCGATCTAGGTCGCTTCTCTGGGTGGCCCCTGTAGAAATCTGAAATGAGAGAGGGGTCCAAAATAAAAGAGCGAGGGATCCAGGATCACTCTTCAGGCCCATATCCTGCCCAATCCACCAGATACTGGAACCCTCTACCTCTCCATCATACATCCAGGATACGGTCAACAGTGTATGCAGGATAGTCATCAATGATACGGGTGGTGGTGGGGTCGGTAGGTGGGCAGAGAGGACTCTCTGACACTGGTTTGATCTGTGAAACATGAAACTTGGGGTGGATATGCATGGACTTGACTAAAGTTAGATGTACCGAGGCAGGGTTGATTATCCATTCAATGACGTAGGGGCCAATCAAGCAGGGGGGCATCTTTCTGCAGGTGTTTTTCAGTTGGATGTTTTTGTTTGATAACCACACTCTTTGACCAACTTGATACCTGGGTGCCTCGGAGCAATGTCGGTCTGCCACCCTCTTGTTCTGCTCTGCYGTTCTTTGAAGAGCCTGTTTGGTTTGGCGCCAGATGAGTCTGCACCTGCGGAGATKATGCTGGACAGAAGGAACAGAGCACTCAGATTTGACCATKGGGAAAAGTGGTGGGTAATATCCTTGAGAGGCTTCAAAGGGTGACAGACTGGTAGAGGTGGAGGTGTTGTGAGCATATTCGACCCAACAGAAATGTTGAGACCACAAGGAGGGGTTTTTGTGAGCTATACAACGCAGTGAAGTCTCCAGCTCCATGTTTTCTGCAGTGTGTTTCTGAGGAAAATGCTGCACCCCCAAGACTGATGAATGGAGTTCATGGCTTTTGGGGTCCACAGTGGCAAGTAACAGCAAGATATGTGTCCATATTAATGGGCGTCCACATATCAGCTGTYAAACTAACAGCAATGTTGTTCTGGAGGTCCTCTTTTGTTTTCTCCTTTTCCTCCTTATATTTGGCTCACCAAGTCCTTGATGGCCTAAAAACATACAAAGACTTGAAATAAATTAATTAATTAATTAAAGTAGATAGAGAAAACTCATTAGATAATTCAATTCAACTATGCATTTCTTAAACATACCTTATTGCTTGGTGGAATATATGAGGGTTCAATAAGCTTCAGGAGCTCTGAATCCCTCATTTTGTACAATGGTGAATGGCTGACAGTCTTTGATGATCATTTGGACCACAGCCTCATCCAYTGCTTGTTTGTTAGGAACTGCAGAGTTACACAAGGCCTTTGTATGTAATAAACTATTTTTGAAGATACATTTTGGAGACAGACTTCTATCACTCTTTCTGACTTCTTCTGTCCAGCGGCTGCTGCTGAACCCCCCTTCACCATAGCACTCACAGGCAGACACACTTCACACTAGCCTCGTGCCAGTCCCAGCTAGCAAGCTAGCTAGGTAGCAAGCTGCACGTAATGGTAGAATGTTTCCTGATGCATCTCAGTAATCCAGGTAAAAAATC